ACAGCACTGGTCCCAATACCGAACCCAGGTTGTATGGACCTCCAGACCCCACAGGGATTTGATCTTAGGGTGCAGTTTACAAGTTCAACAGTGCAACCACTATGTAAGACAGGAGGACAGCCCAAGAACAAGGAACTGCATTTCTGCTCACCTGCAACTAAGAGCTCATTTTGTTTATAAATAATCACTATTCCTGTATCACCTCCAGTGTATGGGCTAGCTGACTTTTCAGGGCCCTCCCCGCTCCACTTCCAGAAGGACTGAGCCTCTGCATTTTCCATTTAAAATACCACTCCCTGGAGGTGCTGAGGATGCAAATTTTAACAGGCAAGGCTAATGCCCCAAAGAAGCTCAGTGTTGGCAAATGATCCTAGGACTCCTGCAGCTCATTTCATGCCATAACTAGCCCCCTACCCTATGCTTGCAAGTGATGCACCTTCTGCAATAGCAGAAGCTAGTCAAAGTCCTTCAGCTGCTTATTTCTGATGTTTGTGTGGAAGGTCAAGCACGAAGAGCATGCTTCTGCTGTCAATTTTGTGTTAACAGGTAGTGCTGGTAACTGAGTCAGCAGAGAAGCATCACCCCACAGTCACCCAGGAGAGCCCTAAGCACCCCTCACCATTACAGAATCCCGGACTTCCTCCTGCTGTGCTTCCTTTAACCCATCTCCCACTCTTCAGGGAGTACATCCACTTCTTCCCATCTTCCTGGCTCATCAGGTCTGGAGTTAGTTTACAGATCATCAGATCTACAAAATGAATCTTAAAATCTTGCAGAGACATCCTGGGAAAAAGAGTACCAAGAGACATCCTGTCAGCAGTTTAGTTTAGTCCATATAGCTTATAAAAAGAAAAGGAAAGGGAGTGGGGAACTTCGAAGCTGCTCCGATCTGTGTTACATATGGTAATGCTCATGTTTTATTAGGCAGCAAAGAAGAGAGCGTCTGCTCCAACCGCAGCATCTAGCAGTAGCAAATGCACGACTAAAGTTTCAGCAAAGGATAGCAGCACAGAGATTAAAATAATATTGCCACCAAAGGAACCGCAGTGAAATGACAGGGGGGACAACATTGCCACCTCGTGGCTGAAGCTGTGGAGAAACCACGAACAAGCAAGGCAAGCGAGAGCTTCCCAACGCTCTCTTAAAAGGCAGGACAAAAGCTCCCGAAAGCTGCCCGTGTCTCCAGCAGCCCTGGGAGACCTGACAGTGTCCTGCTTCTCCCTCACTTCTGCCACTGAAGAACAGCACATCTCTTCTGTGTCAGCACAGCTACTGCTTCTCACATTGTCAAGCAGAAAAGGAGAGCAAGAAAGCAAGCATGGGCTGTTATAAAGCAGATCACATTTGCCTCAACTTAAGTGGCAGCAAGCTGTTTCATCTCCAGACGCAGGCCCAGAGCTACCAGCAGAGAGGGGAGAGGTGAAGCTTTGCCATTACCAGAATTCTCCATCCTCCTTCTTTTTCCTCAGCAAAATCTTCTCTTTCGGGCTGAGAAGCTCCCATTTGTAAGAGCTGAGGGCAAAAACATGAGGTGACTAACCAAATGTGTCCTCAAATTCAAGACAGAGTACATAGCCTTCCTCTATAGAGGCCAAATCCCTGTTCCCACATATCTCCACATTTATCCCCCACTAAACACAGGCCCCCTATGCCTTCAGCCACATGAGACTCTCCACAAGCACTCTAGGTCCTGTGAGATGTTACTAAATGGCTCCTGTTTTCTCCAGAAGCCAGAAGTGCTCCATTTTCATCAGCCAGTCCATTCGCTTGCACACACAGCTTCCAAGTTCTTAAAATATAAAAATCTAGACCTGTTTTGTTGGTTAATTTTCTGTCAAAGGAGACACAATGGTAAGAGCATTTGGCACAATGAATGAACAACTAGGACAGCACAAGAGGCAGCTGGGAGTCGTTTAAAAGGCAGGCCTACAGTATGTTGCTCATTATGCTCTTCAACAGGAACAGCTGGTATGTTGTCATTATGAGACAGACATGCATCAGAGAAGTTACTGCTCTGCAGACAAGGTGAAAGTCACTCACATTCCTAACACCTCTTTCTGGTCTTCCCTCCTCCCTACCCCCAAGCCTCAGCAAACAGGGTCTGTGCAGGGAATGAACTGAAGCTTGGAAGGAAAGAATATGCTCCGTTTCAAAGAGGAATAGGGCATAAATCTATAGTTGCTCATGGTCTATAATGCAAACAACTGTCTTTCATGTACCCCAAGGAAAAAAAAAACAAATAAAATCAGGCAGATGCAAATATAGGGCCCATTTGCCTCACTAGTTGCTTCCTCTGATCTCATACCCAAACTATTTCCCCAGACAGCCAGGATGAAGAGGACCCCTTCACAGCCACCCAGCTCCAACACCTTGCAGCCAATGCAGGACCTTGCACGGTCCCTCTTGTGATAAAGGGCTGTATGCCCTGAAACATGCTGTTTGTTTAGAACCTCCTGCACAGCTATCTGTCACTTTGCATGTCATCCAGATCACAGGAACATGGTCAGCATTTCATGTTCCTATCATGTTCCTCTGGCATTCAGTGAATGGAAAAGCAGAACTGAGCTTGTTGAAGCTGCATGTGTGAAGTGAGCCCAACTACATGAGCCCTGTCTGCTGGAGAAATAGAAATCTATTGAGTCATTGCTTTGAAACCAGAGGGTCTGTGCAGACAACTTTTACTTATCTTAATGCTGCTCTCGGCACTAATTCATGCCTGAAGATGGCAGCATCTTTCCTCCAAGAAACCTTTCTTCCCACTCAGCATTAGACCTCCCCTTTTTTAAACTCACCTGTCACTCCAGTCTCCTTTCCATTCAATTTTTCCCCATGGATTTCTCAGTCTCACTAGGTTTTCTGGTCCATCTTGACAGGTGACCTACAGAAAATAGTAACACTATGCTTATCAAAGTTTCAGCAGTTCTCATCTGTTTTATATCACTGTACTATGTCAGATATTAACAAAGATTTTGTTTATTCTCATAGATGCCATGAAGTATGATGATAAAAATCTATGAACATGCAACTCAATGCCAGCACAAAGAGATTAAGATGTTTTAGCTTACCTTCTATAACTGTAACCAGAGACCTCACATTCCTAATTTGGAGGCTTGACCATAAATTCCTCTTGACCATAAATTGACCATAAATTCCTCAACATCTGCTCATTTTGTGCTTATGTTGGGGCATGACTGTACAACTGTGAAAGTTAGGTCCTATCCAGTGCAATGGCACAACACAATACAGCCCAGGGGGTGACCATATAGATTAGTGCCTCCTGAACTGGGATGCCGCGGTGGGAGAAGAGAGCCAGGCCGACTAGGGGCTTTGTTGGCATCATACAGCAGGGTGGCTGACTTCACACCAGCTCCACATGCTCAGTCCATTCCTTACTCCTGCCTGGCTCTTCATCCCATCAAAGCCAGACTGACAGACATAATGCTGATAAAGTCCATACCTAAAACCCTCCTGCTGTCTGTGGGAGACACAGTCGTGCATCATCCACCTCATAGTATCTCTTCCAGTTTTCCTAGTATCTCTTGCTAGTGGTACTGAACGTGCTTTCACCCATGCTTGCATCACATGTCCAAAACCCCACAAAGTCCTTTGCCATCCTTGTCAACCTCCTTTTGAGGCTGGACAAGATAGTCATCCATCAATCCAGGAGGAGAAAGCTTGAGGTTTCTCCTACTCTTTGGGACATTATTTTACTGTCCCTTACCTCTAGACAAATATCTTTAGGAGAGTCCCAATGATACTTCTGCAGATCAGTGGGGTCCACCTGCACTCTGCACAGGAACTCAGTGCGGCTCCCTTACTTTACCCTTGGCTCACATTTCCATCTGTAATTCTTCATGTTTTCGCCCTTGTATTCCACTATCTTCACTTCTCTATGGCCTCTCTTCTGACTTCAGAGGAAGGCTTTTTACCCCAAGTAGGTTTCAACACATCCTCCCAGCACCTCCAAAGACCAGTCCTTTCATCCTTACCAGCTAAGATGCATTAGTAGGCAATGCTCTCAGCAGAGCCCTATGAATCCTTCCCACCCTTAGAGATATGCTGATCTATAATCTTTGTCCTTTACATCAAAGTCACGATACATGACACACTTGAAAACGAATTTTTACAAAGCACGTGGTCTCTTTTAGCCTTAGACTAAGAGAAGAGCTTTAGGGGAGGAGATACCATAGTTGCCCCAATTAGGTGTTGAACGTATGACTGTAATAAAAATTGCTGACATCCAAACAAACCTGGACCCAGGACATTAGGGCTAGTCATACCTTTCTAATACCAGTTACTGTGTAGGCATGGCCAGCAACAAGCCCATTCTTCAGGACCTTTGTTGCCTGTATACAAGGAAGAGAAACAGAACAAAAATAAACCTTTTATTCTACCCCTACTTACACAGCAGACTCATACCAATACCAGAGACCCGCACTTGTGTAAGCATTAACTCTCAAAGCAAATGGAGAATGGTCTAAATGGGAAAAAACAAACAAACAAAAAGTATAAGCTCCTAACAGATATATTTTGCAGTATGCTTAGAACTGGAAGGTTGATTGGGAAGGTCCCTTCCTTAATTGTGGATCTTTGGGTAGCAACCATCTCATTTTTAGAAAGTCAAGGAAGTTAGGTTTTGATTTTCAGAATAGCAGGGTTTCCCAACAGCTGAAGTGTTAGCATAAGGCTTGGAAGCCAAGATTTGAATTCATGTTCTGAACTATACACCTCTCTATCTTAGCTATAAGCTTATTCCATGAGTCTCTGTGCCTCCCTACACCATCTGTAAAAATGGAAAATTTATTTAACAAAAAAATGGAAAATGCAGTAGGTCCTTATTTAATAGAGGTTCTTTGATAGACAAACCAGTTCCTGAACTAACAACAGGGATCTGAGAGCAGCAGGGGATCAACTCACATGCAAAGTTTAATATTAAGAATGTGATTTCTACAGAAAGTCACATGTGACAGCTTCATTACTTGAGTCACAACAACTAGATGAGAAGAGGAAAACAGGTCTGGAAAGGCTTTTAGCTGTGAAGCCATTTGATGTCACTCCAAGTCTCACCCCTAGATGTGTCTGACAACCCATGAGAGATCTGCTGTAAGTTGCTCTTGTCAGAATATCCCACAGATCAGGAGGAGCTGCTGCAAGCTTGATCCTGATATTAACACCACCTGTAAAATCCACCAAGGCTTCTGAAACTTGTCCAATCTGCAGATCTTCATAGGAGCCATAGAGTCTAGCAAAAAAGACATCAATATATTCTTGGGGTTATAGTCACAGATGATAGGTTGAGAACAGCATGCCAACGAAAACATACAGTAAAGGTTGGCAAAAGCAAAAGGACAGCTGCAGCTCATGTCTAATTTTAGGGGAATCTCTGGCATTTAAGAAGAGGGAAATCTAGCAAATTGCCTCCAAGATTTGCCATGGTCTGAAAGGGACTCTTCACTCACTGTCATTCCTCACTGCACAGTAGTAAGAACATATCCAGCATTACTTCTTTGATAACACTGCCTTGGTAAATGTTGCCTGAATTTATCACCAGACACTGTGCTGCATCTAAGATATAGTGCCTCAAGAGGCACATATTGTCTTGATAGCTCAGTTTCTAATCTGATTTTCTTTACCACTGCAGTGCAACTTTCTCTGGTATTTTTGTTCTAACACTAACTCCAAATGAAAATAACTTAACTTTCTCTCCTTTGCTGTGATCTTTCTCTCAATGTTAATTAGGATTTTTCCCTGCTTTGCAGAGATTATTTCAGCCCAATATTAGCAAACTCCATCAGTTATGCCTTGTTGCTTTCTTCTTAGTCCTGATAAACCACTCTAGACAAAACACCCTGGAGAAAAGCCAGTATTCTCACCGCGCGGTGTGACTTGTTGAATGCCTCAGCTCCAGGGGGCCCAGACTGGGAACTTGTACAAAACCCAAAGTACAATGCTTCAGCAGACCCCCAAAATTAAATGCCTTGGAGGCTTCTCACACTGATAATACATCAAAGGAATCATCAGAAATCATTCACCTTTGAAAATCCCTATCTGTGGCCTTCCACTCCTCTGCAGTATTTACAAGGAAGGCATCATCCTAGCCAATACACTCCAAACAGTGATAACATTCAGAGGACAACCTCCCAGGATAGGTCTGTTTTGACACCTACTCCTATATCCTTGGACTTAAACTGAAGGGACTGGATTAATAGCAGCTACTGCAATGGCAGCTTTTACTGTGTAATAATAGAAAGATGAGAACAATTTACTATACTCCAAATGTGGCAAGGCCTAGGAGATGCATTTATAAACAAGAACAAACTGCGTAGGCACCAACCAGCATATTTTAGAAAGATTGTTTGCATAACTTGCAATGAGTCACTTACTTAGCATATGCCTTCTCCAGAAGGGCTCCCCAGAACACGTTCTTATAGACTGAGGAAACAAAGACCAGCTCCCCGTCCTGGTTCACTGGCAGGCGATCATCAACCACCACGTCAACCCATTCACCAAAGTGCCAGAACTGTCAGGGGAAAGGAATGAGCTGATATTTCCCTTAGAAGGGACCTCCCCTTGAAACAACAGGAAAGGCAAGATAGCTTAACTGCAGGTACAGGACAAGCTGCCTTGCACAGAGGGCTGCTGTGGGTCAGTGGGATGCACTAACTCACCCACAGAGCCAACTCCTCAGCCCCACCCTGCCACAAGAGAAAACAAAGCCTCTATCAGGTATAAAAGGATTAAGCAGGGAAATCAGGCACAGCTGG